GGCGGCCCGGCCCCCGAGTTTGCCTCCCGTCCGGTTGCCTGGGATGCGAGGAGGAAATGTAAGGCGCTCCGAGAGCACTTGGAGGCTTTCCCGGGGTGTGTTCCTCGCCGGTCGCGCGTGTCCTTTCTTCCGGGACGGGAGCGGCGGGGGCAGGTGGGCAGGTAGCTGTTCACGCTCGGAGGACGGTTCCAGCAACAAACAAACAGACAGACAGACAGGGATGCCCCCCGCCCCGCGCCCCGCCCCGCCGCCCGCGACTAACATTTCCAAGTTTAAAAAGAAGCAGACTCGGGAATGCCGAGGGGTTCTGTACGTCAGGAGTACGATCGCTTTTTCTTTATTTACATAGAAAATAGGAGCGGCGACGTCGTGCGCTGTGCATTGTGACTGGGCGCTTTTTTCGTCCTGAGCTCGCGTCTTCCCGAGTCTGCCCGGGCGGCTTCTGACTCGATATTCCTGGGAAATAATACTGTTAGCTGTCATGTCTCCCTGCAACGCAAGTTTCCGCGAATTAACTGTAAAGAAAGGCTGAGGCTGCTGTTCGTGGGGCGTGAGGCAGATGCCTCTCCCGTCCTGGTAAATCTAGTGTTTGCGCTGCTCTCTTTCCAGCAGGTATTTGCGTGCTTCTCTCTCCCGCAGGTTTGTGAAATGACCGGCGACCGCCGGGGAGGAGAAGCTGGGTAGCCGCTGAGACGGAGTTTCAGTGACCAGAAGACAGCCCAGGGGTGTCGCGTCTTTTTTGCTGTCCCTGCCGCTTTGAGCTTTACTGTAACAGCTGAAAAACTTGGAAAATAAAATGAGCACGCTGTGGTCTTGAACATCCATTTTTATTTTTTATTGGAGGACACATTAAAAGCGCCAGAGTGACACCCAGAATGGCATCCAGAGAGAGGCTCTTTGAACTTTGGATGCTTTATTGTACCAAGGTAACTGCTTTCTTTTTTTTATTTGCACGTTTTAAAATACTTGGTTGTGAGATTTTTGTGACTGGCCCTCTTAGCACTTCATTTCATGGATAATAACCTGTTTGTTGGTAGGTACGACCCACAATTTAAAAAGACGGATTTGCTGCTTGCCATTTCTTCAGGTTCAAACACATGCACAGCACTGGCACACTGTTCCAAGCTCTGGGGTGTGGTTTTTATTTGATATTTGTCTCCAGTGATCCCCAAATTATATAAGTAACATGACGACCTTAAGAGAGAAATGAAGTATTTTCCTTTTTTGTTTGTTCACTTTCCTCTTTCTCCCACAAGTGGGAGGAGAGAGGGTTTCAGGAGAAGAGCCTTCGACATTTTTCTCCTGGTCAACCTTTCACGTCGTGTTAACCAGGGGACTGATGACATGCGAAGGTCTTTGATTGGAGGCGGTCACTCTGAGCTGGCCGAGATATTCGCACCTGATGAGCACCTCTCATCTCATCCTCACAGCCATCCCGTTCGGTGGGTGTCGTCATTACCCCCTTTTACCGACCAGAACAAGCTGGTGCTGGAGTTAGGGGGGCTGGTGAGGTGCAGGACCGAGCTTGAAACTCAGCACCGCCTGATTCACACCCATGGTCTTACCCATGATGACCTGGGCAAACTACGGCCCGCGGGCCGGATCCGGCCTGGTTGGAATGAATAAAACTAAAAAAAAAAAAACCGTACCCTTTTTTTTAATGATGTTTACTTTGAATTTATATTAGTTCACACAAACACTCCATCCATGCTTTTGTTCCGGCCCTCCGGTCCAGTTTAAGAACCCATTGTGGCCCTCGAGTCAAAAAGTTTGCCCACCCCTGGACTCTTACCCATGATGACCCCTTACTATTTTTGGTTTTGTCATTCACAAATAATTTTCTTTTCTCTCTCTGCCTTTATGTGAATTTTTTACACGTTAGCTTTGACTTTAGGGTTATTGGGAGGAGAAGGGTACCACCTTAAGCATCTGCTTCAAGCGAGGAGCTGCAGTACCACCTTGAAGATACTGGAAGGGTCAGAGAAATGGCTTTAATCTACTTTAGTTACTTTAGGTCTCTGTTTTCAAGTCTAAGCTTCCGTTTCTGTTACCCCTTCCGGCTTCTTTTTTATACTTTGAGCTCTTTAATGAACAAGTTATTCTTTAACAAATAATCTCAGTTATCTGTAATATTAAATTTTAGAGGTCACACTGGAATTTTCTTTGACTTTCTGGCTTGGTATATATTTTTTTAAATATATTGTTATTGATTTTAGAGAGGAAGGGAGAGGGAGAGAGAGGTTGAACATCAATG